CCTCTATGCTACTATCCCCCTCGCTCTCAATGCGGTGGTGAAGCTGGGAGCCTTCGACGAGATAGCAGATTCGGTCCTCTCTGCTTCTGAGATTGTTTCCCGGATTACAAACAACCCATCTGCGAATGTTGCATTTCTGGACAGAACTCTCCGAGTTCTGGCAACTTACGGGGTTGTGAACGAGACCGTTGTGCAGGGGCAGCGCAAGTATGGGCTCTCCGAGATAGGCAAGCGTTTTTCTCCAGGAACGAAATTGGCAGCGCGTGGTTTGAGTGTCATGTGCAATCACCGGATCTTCCTCAAGCCTTTCGAGCATCTTGCCGAAGGCATTCTTGATGGTGGCGAGCCATTCCGCAAAGCCCACGGCAAAACCGCATACGAGCTTGTGGCTGAGGAGCCGGAATTCAACAACAGCTTCAACCTCTGCATGGCCGATCATTCCAAGAGGTCCAGTGCTGTGCTGCTGGATTGCTACAAGGGATTTGCAAGCACCAAAACTCTGGTCGATGTTGGTGGCGGCAATGGAGCATTGCTGTGTGACATTCGAACTCGCTATCCGCATATCAAAGGCATAAATTTCGATCAGCCCCATGTTGTTTCTCAGGGAATTGCATCTGAAGGTATCCTCTCACAGATTTTTCATGCTCGATCATTCAAGCACTCTTTGTTTACTTCTTCCAGGAGTGGAGCATGCTGGTGGCGACATGTTCGGATCAATTCCCCAAGGAGATTCAATCATGTTGAAGGTAAAGGATCCAGAGTCAAATTCTCCTTGCCAATCTGGTGTTTCATTCCTTTCTAGTGGATTCTCCACAACTGGAACGACGAACAGTGCCTGAAGATCCTGCAAAACTGCTACAAATCCCTTCCTGCTCAGGGAGGGAAAGTCATTGTCGTGGAAGTTTTACTACCTTCTGAAGCTTATCAAGCTGCCAGTGAGTTTGAGCTGCGAATTGGACTGCTCCTAGATCTTGTCATGATGGTTAATTTCAACGGCAAGGAGCGGACCTTTGAAGAGTACCAGGCGCTCACCGAACAAGCTGGTTTCAACAAAGTGCATCTTGTCAACGTCTCCAATGGACTAGCAATTCTGGAGTTTCACAAGTAGCCACTCTTGGCTGTCACCGTAACACAATGAAATTGTTTTTAAATTTTGATGTTGAATCATTCATTCATTTATATATGCCCACCATGAAACATGAAATCAAAAGATTTAGAAATGCTATTTTGAAGAAGATTGCCAATGTAGTCCATGTCTTCCCAAATCCATATAGAAGACAAGAGGCACGTTCAAGCACCATTAAATTTAAGCTGTGTTTAAGCTCAATGTCAATTTCCTAGTGGGAGAATATACTTTAGGATGGTTTTGCTCTGCTCAACAATTTATGTGCTAGTCAGTACTGGAAAGTAGCATTCATTCATATTCTATTTACATGGCCTCATGGCACCCCCGAAGAAGCCCAAGGGATTTAAATAAGCTGCATAAATGATTGTCTTCATAGTAGATGTTTTTTGTTGTCTCCAGCTAGAGTCACCCACTTAGTCTCTTATGCTTTCAGCTTGTGATTCATTGTTGCCCTTAGGGTAATGGTTCATGTAGTGGTCACAAGTGTATACATCATGTCTATTACAAGGGCTTGGGCTTCTATCTCCAATAAAATTCACACAATTGCATTGCCCATTTTGTATTGCCAAGGATGATATGAAGGATTTAGTCTTGGACTCAATCATAAATTTGTTCTAAGACTCATTATTAGACTTGGTTTCATATAATCCAAAGTCTTTATGTGATTTTAAAATCCTAAGCCTCCTAAACCCTAAGTCTAAACCCAAGTGTTGAGACACAAATCCCTAAGTCCAAAGTGGAGCCGAAAGGGTGCCATATAGTAGTGGCTGAAGCAAAAGCCAAACGAACGTAACACATTTGGATTAAAAGCTCTAATTTGAAAAGTTGAGAGCAGGAGTGGAACTCCTAATGAAGTGTTCGAGGAACAAACACGAGGCAAGCAATAAGTAAGTCTCTAAAAAAGGGGATCGATACATGAATATGGAGTGTCTAAGATGGATTTGAGATGGAGTTTGAGATGGACACAAGATGGAGTTTGAGATGGACTCAAGATGGAATTCAAAATGGACCCGAGATAAAATCTGAGATGGACCTAAGATGGAGTCCGAGATGGACCCAAACATATGAGGTCAAAAGGCAAATAGTATTGGGATGGAATTAAACCATAGAAATTGAAGGGCATAACTAACAGTGGTTATGTAAATTGGGAGTGGAGAATCAAAAGGGTGCTCGAGGATGTTGTTACTAGCAACTGCGATGCGATGGAGAATCTAAAATGTGGAATTATCTATGTTAGACTATATGGTGAGTAAGGAGCTTGCAAAGAAGAAGCCTTAGCAAGCTTTCCTTGAAAATTCCCAAAGACAATTCTAGATGGATACCTAGAAAGCCAAGTGTAAATGGCTCCTAAAGCGCACGAAATTAGAGTGGCGCAGCAGAAGCGTGGTTTTGAAGTTGGCCATGAGGTGAGGCTATCAAGGTTGGGAAAGTAGTTCCCGAGTGTTCAAAGAGAGGGCTTTGAACAAAAGTCGATGGTTAAGGGCTTTCACGCTTATGCATGAACTATGTTACGATGGTCAGATGATTTGCTAAGTGAGATTGGCAAGTCGGGAGAACGAATACCCTAGTTGAAGGAGCCAACTTCAAAGGGGTGGCCAATAGGGCCAAGCATGGAGGAGTCCATGCATGATCACAAACTTGTCAAGTGAAAGGACTTGGCAGTGCGGAGGAATTAGGTTCTTAAGTTGTGATCTGTAATGTGCTTTAAATGTATGATGGTGCACCGGTGTGGGGAGTCACGCCAGGCATCCTGTGTGATGCCGTCCATAAATGCATATACGGAGGTTGGGTTTGAGTCCCGACCCTCTAGTGCTTGGGTTCGAATCCCAACTCACTAGGGCGTGGTGATGGTTTGGAATATGAGGACACTCATATTTCGGTGGTCATGGACTCTCAGTGGGGAGACTGGTTTGGGCACACCGCCAAGCGAGGGATGCCTCGAAGTCGTGATGCACGGTTAGATTGCTTAGTGTGAAAGCTTGGCATATCTAACTTGAACACTTTGGTGCAAGTGGCACCAAGGACGTGGTGAATGAGATGGGGACACCCAGTCTTAGTTGCTATGGACCCTTAGCCAGAAGGGTTGGCTTGGGCGCATTGCCAAGTGTGGGGGATGCCCTCGGGGTCATGGTAAACAACTTAAAGGTTTAGAAGATGTAGTACCTATTGGCAAACCTGTTAAAGTGCTAAATCACTAGGTGATTTTATGGCTAAAACAAGGACAAGGTCAAGGTTAAGGAATAAGGTTCCTAGTTCAAAAGCGTTGATTTGAACTATTGATGATAATGTGGCTTGGGCAAGAAGACTAAGTGGGAAGAACACTTCAAGGAAACGAGCTATGTCAAAGCGATGGCATAGTGAGTCTGAAGAAAGTAGTCTCTATAAGGGACCCATGGGAAAGTCTCAAAGTTGGGCCGTGAATAGAACCCACAATAGAAAATGTTAAAGAGACGTACTAAGGGTGAACACCCTCTAGACTTGGCAAAGCAAAGTTTTTACTATGGAACTGAAAGGATACCTCAAGATTGGAGGTTGCGATCTTATGTTGCTAGGTGCAACCATCAAGGATAGGAGCAAAAGACTAGTGGCTAAGAAAAACCCATGGGAATCATGGGAAATAATCCAAATGGCAAAGTTAGGCCGAGAACACTAATGTGTTAGGTGCTAACAGATTGTGGGAAAGGCAATGTTTTCTCAAGGATGGATTCTCAACTGCTCCAATTTGGTGAAAGTGGAAGCTCCAATGGAGGAGCGGTAAGGTAGCCAAATAATAGGGCTGTGGGCAGCCCTAACACAAATTATGATAATTGGAATTTAGTGCCAAAGATGGCACGATATTGAAGAAAGGATGATTGTGCCCTCAAGTAAAGAACTTCCTAGGATGGGGAAGTGGAGTTGCTCCATGTGCAACGTAAAGTGTCAGAGACACCTAGAAAATTGATTTGGAGAAGTCAAAATTAAAAGTTCCAAAGTGCAAATGTTATGTTGATGGAATCTAAGACTACTCAAGAATGAGTAGTGGAATTGAGTTAGAGAAGGTGTCTCTAACGGGTTTAGCGAGAACTGAACCAATAAAAAGGAGTGAACCACCCCAAGTGGCCGAATAAGTTTCTATGTTAGAGAGATTATGCTCCTTAGAGGATGGACAAGGCATGGTGAGCCTTCAGTGTCAAACCATAGACAAATATTAGTTGGGTGCCAAGGATGGAAATGGTAATACATGCGGGTGTTACTTTATAAAAGGGGTTACCATTCGATGAGGACATCAAACTTCGTCTATGGGTGGTGGAGTTGTGAGACACAAATCCCTAAGTCCCCAAAGTGGAGCCAAAAGGGTGCCACGTGGAAGTGGCCGAAGCAAAGGCCAAACAAGTGTAACACGTGTGGACCAAAAAACTTCAACTTGAAAAGTCGAGGGTGGGAGTGGAACTCCCAACAAAGTGCTTGAGGAATGAGCACAAAGCGAGCAATAAGCGAGGCTCTAAAAGGGACCAAAAAGGACCAACACATGAAGAGTCCGAGATGGACCTAAGATGGAGTCCGAGATGAACCTGAGATGGAGTCCGAGATGGACCTGAAATGGAGTCTGAGATGGACCCGAGATAGAGTCCGAGATGGAGTCTGAGATGGACCCGAGATGGAGTCCGAGATGGACCCAAGATGGAGTCCAAGATGGAGTCCGAGATGGACCCGAGATGGAGTCCGAGATGGAGTCCGAGATGGACCTGAAATGGAGTCTGAGATGGACCCGAGATAGAGTCCGAGATGGAGTCTGAGATGGACCCGAGATGGAGTCCGAGATGGAGTCCAAAATGGAGACTTGATAGAAATTTGAACATCAAGAAAAGGTGTGTTGCAGCGATGCTTCGATGAGATGCGATCCAACAACATGGTACCCAACATGTTCCTGTGTAGCATCTTGATCGACGGGCTGTGCAAGGCCAAGCGATCGATTGACGTGCTGCGGTGCTTCCGCACGATGCAAGGCGCCGGGATCGTGGCGGACACGGTGATCTACACTGTGCTACTCTCGGGGCTGTGGAAGGAGAAACGGCTGGATCAAGCGCTGGCGATCTTACACGAGATGCGCGACCATGGATGCGAGCCAAACGTGGTGACTTACAACTCGCTCATTGATGGGCTGTGCAAGAACAACGAGCCCGATCGCGCGCAGGAGCTCTTCGAGCACATGAAGAGCGTGGAGTGCTCGCCATTGGTGACTTACAACACGCTGCTAGATGGGCTCTTCTGGACTGGCAAGCTCGAGAGCGCCATGGTGCTCTTCCAGGAGATGCTGGGCACGACGTGATCTCCTTCAACATCCTCGTCACTGGGCTGTGCCGCGCTGGGAAGATCGAGACCGCACTGGAGTTCTTCCGCAAGATGAACGTGATCACTTACAGCGTGCTCATCGATGGGCTGTGCAAGGCCAACCGGGTGAGCTAGGCGGTGGAGCTCCTGGAATCCATGAAAGCTCGCGGCTGCTCGCCGGACGTGATCACCTCAACGATCCTGGTGGATGGGCTTTGCAAGGAGAGCAAGGTGGCGGCGGCCTGGGAAGTTCTTTGTGAGATGCTCGACGCTGGATGCGTCCCCAACCTGGTGACTTCCAAGTCGCTGCTGCATGGGCTGTGCCGCGCAAGGCGAGTGAGCGATGCGCTGGCGCTCATGCGCGACATGACGTGCCGCGGCTGCACGCCCAACGTCGTGACATACGGTACGCTCATCGACGGGCTGTGCAAGGTGGGGCGAGTCAAGGACGTGTGCGCGATGCTGGCTGACATGATCGACAAGGGCAGTACGTCGGTACAACATGCTCATCAACAGGCTTGCGAGGCGGACCAGGTGGACGAGAGCATCGCACGGTATCCGGCTGTATCAAGCCTGACGTGTCACATACAGCAGCGTCCTCTACGGGCTGGGCCGCTCCAACCGGCTGGACGAGGCGTGCCGCCTGCTGCTCTACATCAAGTCGCGTGGCTGCCCTACAGCACGCTCATCGACGGGCTTTGCAAGGCCGGCAATCTCTACGAGGTGATGACCGGCGATGGCTGTGATGCCGACGTCGTGACATACAGCACGCTCATCGACGGGCTGTGCAAAGGTGGGAGAGTGGACGAGGCGCATTTGCTACTGGCCAGGATGGTCCGGATGGGAACGCCGTCATCGACCTTGACTTACAACTTACAGCAGTGCCATGGGAGCGAAGATTATGGTTGCAATGTATTTTTGCACATTGATATACTTGCCAGGGACTTGTTTGCATTCTAAATTTCGTACTCCTTTTACTAAAATGTTCTCTGATGTGGAGTGGAGCAAAGCAGTATCACCGTCACTGAGGCCTGCTTCGAGTATGCAGCAAGCAGCATGTTCCGGAACGGATCCACGCCACAAAACACCTCCTTCCCGATGCCTCCTCATGTCGTAGAATGCACTGCTTGTGACCAAGCAAACCTTCACCTGGATGCTCACGATGGGCTCTGAAAACCTTCTTGGCGTCTCGCGCGGGAGAGGAAGAACATTAACATTGGGCGTGTATCGGTTAAGTACATGGTTTGATAATAAAGTAATGCGAACATGGTTGCTAAGGAATTGGTTATCAGGTTAGTGTAGAGGTGGACCGGAAGTAGAAGACTCGGGTTCGAGGCAGCCCAAGGGTCCAATCAACAAGGACTTTACTAAAAAGGTTTTTTCTCAATAAATACCACTATTTCTTGTTCGCTGGCTCACTAAAAAGCCCTAGACTATTTGGTAGAGGTGTCAAGCTTACAAAGCACAAGTCCAAGGTTCGAATCCTATAGTTTCTTTGGCTCCTGAGAATATGGAGTTCGTGTATCAAAAGAAACTAAAACGCGCCACATCAAATTCCCATGGACTCAAAGCCTTGTCTCCCGACATTGCGATTCCTCGTGTTACTTTGCGAAGAGGATGAAGGAGCCCTAAAGTGCCCTAAAGGAAGATCTTCGGAATTTTAGGGTTCTTCGACAAAGATTCTTTTGGCGCTCGACGGATGGATGCATTTCCTTCGACCCGCGCTCCACAGGTACTGCCACAGATTGGGACAATGCCGGGGTCACAGCACACAGCGGAGCTCCTTTCGGGGTTGAAATCCTGCGGGAGCTCCAAGGATTTAGAGAAGGGAAGGGTGCTCCACGATCGCGCCATCCAGAGCGGGGTTTGCTCCAATCTCTACGTTTCTTGCAGCTTGATCGGCATGTATGGGAGGTGTGGCAGCCTGGTTGAGGCGAGGAGGGTGTTTGACAGGATGCCTTGCCACAATGTAGTGGCCTGGAACGCTTTCATCTTGGAACACGCAGAGAATGGCGAAGAATCTCGTGCTCTGGAAGCCTTCTCATGGATGGAAAGCCAGGGTTGCGCACCGGATTCCGGGACATTCTTTGCAGCGATCAAGGCTTGCTCTGCTCTAGCGGTCAGAGAAGAAGCGAGACTCATCGGTGGGAAGATGATCAAGCTGGAAGCTCTGGAACAAGGCATGAGAATCCACTCTCGAGCTAAGAGAAGCGGCAAAGATGATCACGTAGCGAGCTCGCTGGTGGAAATGTACGCATACTGTGGAAGAATGGTGGAAGCATGCATGGTTTTCTATAGAAGCTCCCGGCACAGTGTCATCTCGTGGACTGTTCTAGTGCTCGGGTACGTAGCAAACGGGGAGAGTGAGCTAGCACTCGAGGTTTTTGGCAGTATGGGAGCTGGAGAGATCAAGCCGGATGGTCGATGCTTTGGCGCAGCAGTGAAAGCTTGCTCCGATTTGGCTGGGAGAGAAAAGTGGGGAGAAGCTTTGGATGGAACGGCTGTAAAAGTTAGCGCTCTGGGAAAAGGGAGAGGAATCCATCGCCAAGCGAGACGAGTGCTGGATGTTTTCCTGGGAAATGCTCTGGTGGATATGTTTGCGAAGTGTAGGAGCATGGCTGATGCCCGAGGAGTTTTCGACAGGATGCCTTCCCACAATGTGGTCTCGTGGAACACGCTACTGGTGGGATACGTAGACAATGGAGAAGCAGAGCTGGCGCTGGAAAGCAGCGGATTCCTTGACGTTTGTCGCAGGTTTGAAGGCCTGCATTGGATTAGCAGCGAAAGAAGAAGCCACAAGCTTTGAAGGGAAGATGGTGAAAGTGGATTCTCTGGAGAAGGGGATGGCGATTCACATCCAGGCCGCGGAGAAAGGATACAAGAGGGACGACTTTTTGTCGAACACTCTCGTGGACATGTATGCCAAGTGTGGAAGCATGGTGGAGGCTGAGAGAGTTTTCAGGAGCATGCCTTGCCACAGCCTGGTGTCGTGGACGGTGCTCATGCTGGGATACGTGCTCGCCAAGATCACGTCCGTCTTAAAGTAGTTTCTCGAGTCTCCATGAAGAGCCAGTATTCTCTCCAAGCATTTCAGCTTGACCAGCTTTCCATCAACCTCCACGGCCACTTCCTTGGTCGCCAAGCCGAGACAGGCCTTCGACACAGCAACTAAAGCCATAGCATCTGGAACGAGGCCACTGTTTTTCATCTGAGAAAACAAATCCAAAGCTACCTCTGCTTGCGAGTTATCCACTTACGCGCGAAGTGGAAGCCTGATGGATGCTCGAAGAGTTTTCGACCAGATGTGCTCGCACGACGTCATGTCGTGGACTTCGCTGGTTCTGGCCTGTGTCGATTGCGGAGAGGAAGACACGGCACTAGAGCTGTTCCAACGTATGATATGCGAGGGGCATGCGCTCACGTCTTCGAGCATTGTCACAGCAGCACTCAAGGCTTGCATCCGCGTCGCTGCAAGGGAAGAGGCCACTCAGGTGGATGGAAAGGCTGTCAAAGTTTCGTCACTGGAGAAAGGGATTGCTATCCATTGCCAGGCATCCAAACTCCTTCGACACTGGGACTTCGTTTTGGACAGCAGTTTGATGGAGATGTATGCCAAGTGTGGGAGTCTGGTGGACGCCCAGCGAGTTTTCGACAGCATGCCACACCGTGATGTAGTCTCGTGGACAGTGCTCATGTCGGGGTACGCGGAATGTGGTGATGGAAACAAAGTTTTGGAGCTCTTTGTGGGAATGAAACTGAAACTCGGTCAGGCCTGCTGTGCTCTAGATGCTCGAGTCTTCGTCCCCGTGCTCAAGGGAAGCTCTTCTGTGGGATCGCTGGAAGTCACTAAAGCCATTGTTGGGGAAGTATACAGATATGGAGCCGAGAAAGACATTGTGCTCTCCAACAGCATGGTGGACGTGTTTGGAAAAGCCGGAAGTATGAACGACGCACAGCAGACGTTTGACGCAGACTCGAGATCTGATAGCATGGAACGCTCTCGCAGCTGGATACAGCCGCCAGGGCGACGCCGAGAAGGTCCTGGATGTCTTTCACCGGGCTGTGGACGACGAAGGAGTTGAGCCGGACAGTGTGACGCTGCTGTTTCCTCGCTGCGTGCAGCCACGCCGGCATGGTGACTAGAGGCAGGAAGTACTTCGACGCAATGCTCTCGAAGTATGGAGTGAGTCCGAGGTGTGAGCACCGGGTGTGCGTGGTAGACATGCTCGGTCGGGCCAACCAGCTATGTGAGGCACTGGCAATGGTGACTGGCATGGGCTCGGAAGCGAGTGCGCTCACTTGGAGGACACTCCTGGCTGCTTACCGGACGTGGAGAGATGTGGAGACCGGAAAGGTGGCGTTCGAATCGCTCGTGAAGATTGACGACAGAGACACAGCAGCGTACTCTCTCATGTCCAACCTGCTTGGGAGCGTCGGATTGTGGGAGGAGCAGTCACGGCTCCTGCGAAGTCAAGAGGAACTCTTCGCCCAGCAGCAGGCAGAGGCATCCTACATCGACTGCGGAGGATTGGTGAAAGAGCGAGGACGATGCCCGTGCTTGTTGCCGAGAAAACAAGCGTCGCTCCGACACCACCGCGCGTGCCGCCAATTGAAGGGACGCGAGCTCATCCGCGAGAAAGCACTTCCACTGGCAAGAGACACCATCCGGGACCTCCTCAACCTTGTCCTTGACATGAATGAAGTAATCAAGCAGCGTTTCGTCACGAGATTTGCAAGGCATCGCTGCTCGATTGATGGACCAAGAGCTTGGAGGAATCTGGTCTCCAGTGCCATCCTCCTGGGCCAAGCTTTACCTTCTTGGCAGTGATGGTTTTTCCTTTCTTTATAACATTGTTCCTTTTCAGAGATGTTTTTGTGATACACCTTTATTATCCTATCCTCCACGGCGAATTTTGGAGCCTGATTATTGGAAGATCTGCTATAATATTACGAAAATATTTACCTTAATAGATATTTGCCATTTTGGACTTATACACTTTGCATGTGCACCATTACATTGGCAACAGATCCAAAATGAGACTAAATTGACACCAACTCAATAAATAAGAAATCCTGTTAAAGTGCTGGCACAAGAATTCACAGGATAATAGCAAAACACGTATTTTTTATGAAATTGTTTTAAAACATATTTGCTACCTTGACTTGGATTCCTTGATTTGCATTAAGAACTTCAAGAGAAGTACAAGGTGTGATAATTTATCGTCGGAGTTCTGCATATATGGTAGAGCGCATGGAAGACATCCTCCACCTGGTGGGTGGCACAATTCTGGCACAAGCGTTGGCTCCTGAGAACCCACGGACGTTGATGCCGTCCAAGCAGCGTTGTCCGCACCTAGGGTGGGTATCCATGAAATTCCCGGAGTGGCTCTGTAAATGGTAGCCGCTATTTGCAGCCAGTGTTGGAGAGCTTGGTCTATCCAACGGATTTGATGATCGAGATCCAAGCCGAGCTGCTCGGTCCATTCCGTTTGTGGGAGAGGCTGATGGAATCCTGGATTGTCCGGTAAGCTAATTTGTCTAAGGTGCTTTAACGTATGCGATTGTTCGTTTCCATCCATGGGAAGGATGCCACTCTCGAGAATAAGGATGGGACCTGGAACTCATGCTGGATGAACTAGATGTTGAGATCTTGGCAGACCGGAGACGACAGGGGCTTATAGAATGCTCTTTTGGTCTTCTAATCTGTGATCCCGTGGCTGTGACTATCAGACTGAAGGGCATGTGTATGCCCTTGGTCCATGTCCCCCGGCAGTGCAGAATGTATCGTAAAAACCGTAGCCTAAACCAATTCTCCTATACTGTAAAGTAGTTTTCTTTCTAATTGCATTTACCTTTTGCAAATCAATGCATTTTACAAATACTTTATATCGGTGGCTGGAAAGTTTAGTGCAATTAATACAAGTATCATGGTTACTAAATGATACAACTGTTATAGATGGTTCAAAAATAAAACAATATTGTTGGGATATATTTCATGTCTTTAAAAGATATTCTTTTTTTGAAAACTATATACACAAAAATGGTAATAAAAGTTAATGTTTAAAACATCTTATTTTAATATTTAATCTAATATTTTATATGATTGTAATACATATACCTCAACTCTTATAAGTGGAGCTGACATATCCTTTATAAATTTCATAACTTTGAAATAATGTTTTTAACTTAATTTTTATTATAAATAAATTAATAAAATAAGAAAAATAATATAGTATATTTAGAAAATATTTAACTCAAAAAATACAAACAATAAGTTTATAAAAATTAATATATATTTATATACATATATATACAAAGTTTTGCAGCACCCTCCATAAAACATAAAACCAATGTGTTTAGGAGTGATATGGTTTAATTCTTGAAAAGTGTTCAAAATTAAAATCTCTTGGAAACTGATGCTTATTAATTTAAATGGATTCTTTCAATTGATAAAGAATTCAGTAATTTTAGAGACCACTTATTAAATTTGTTAGATGTTCATTCTTTTTATATCTTTCTTTAATTTTCAACCTTCTTCCTCATTTGCAACTATTAAGTATATGAAATTATGTGGTGTTTGTAGTGTTTCATGCTTAAAAAACATGCAATAATAATAATTACTTCTTTCTCTCTTGATTTATTAATCTCATATTCGCAATATAAACATAATTTTATTACAAAATAGTTAAAGTGTAATTGTCAGAAATTAATTTTGAAATGCTCATTGCTGACTTCCTAAAATGGAAAAAACAAAAGGTAAAACAGCAATTCCGTTTGTGTTGGAACCCTAGGTGGACCTCTGGGTAGGGTTTGCAAATCCATGGCTGCGGGCACAGCGAGGAACCAGAGAATGCGAGAGCTGTGATCGATCGCCAGCCCTCGGCCGCCTCTTCCATCAATGGATTACTACAGCGTCCTCAAGGTCGGGAAGAATGCGAGCGACGACGATCTTAAGAAGGCTTACCGCCGCCTGGCCATGAAATGGCATCCGGACAAGAACCCCACCAACAAGAAGGAGGCCGAGGCCAAGTTCAAGCAGATCTCCGAGGCTTACGAGGTAAGGCCAGATCTTCTCAATTCTCTCAATTTACACCAGTTTTCCTTTTGTTTTTGTTTGCTTTGTTCCCTGTTCTTATCAAGGTTCTTAGCGATCCTCAAAAGCGTCAAGTGTATGATCAGTATGGAGAGGAGGGATTGAAGGGGCAAATACCGCAGCAAGGGAATGGAAGCTTTAGATTCAATCCCAGGAACGCCGAGGACATATTTGCCGAGTTTTTTGGGAGTTCCAGCCCCTTTGGATCCATGGGTGGCCGCGCTGGCGGTGGTCGCAGCCCCTTTGATGGAATGTTTGGAGGATTTGGAGGCACCGAGAATTCTTTCCGATCGTTTGGTGCCGAGGGAGCCACTTCCAGCCGCAAGGCTCCGCCGGTGGAGAACAAGCTCCAGTGCACGCTCGATGAGCTCTACAATGGCTCCACCAGGAAAATGAAGATCTCGAGAAACGTTGTCGATTCTACTGGGTAAGTTGTTCTCAGCAGTAGCAGAAGAAGAAGAAAAAAGAGTTTTTGAGACTTTCTCGCTTTGCCTTGCAGGAAGATTGCTCCCATAGAAGAGATACTGACGATCGATGTAAAGCCCGGGTGGAAAAAAGGGACGAGGATCACCTTCCCAGAGAAAGGCAACGAACAACCAAACGTTGTTCCGGCAGACCTTGTGTTCGTCATCGACGAGAGACCTCACGAAGTTTTCAAGCGCGATGGGAACGACCTCATAGTGGTGAAGCGAATCTCACTCTCCGAGTCACTTACGGGATACACGGCAGTCATCCACACTCTAGACGGGAGAGTTCTCAGCGTACCAATCACAGATATAATTCACCCGGGTTACGAGAAGGTGGTACACAAGGAAGGAATGCCGATTGCAAAGGAGCCGGGGAAGAAGGGAGTTCTCAAGATTAGATTCGACATAAGGTTTCCACCTAGGCTATCGCTGGAACAAAAGGCTGGGCTCAAGAAAATTCTCGGTGGAGGTCCAGGGTAGCGATCGATCCAGAGACACGAAAGATGGGAATTAAAAAACTTTCTTAATACCTGGGGGGGAGCGGGGTGGAAAGCACAGATACTCTGAGGTTTGTGCCCGGGCCTGGAGCAGCAGCGAGAAAAGCTGTCGAAAGAAGATCGATCGAGTCAGAGAAAAACCAAGAGAGAGGTTCTGCAGCTAAGTATGTCCATTTTGTAACATAACTAGAAGCAGCTGCTTACCAGACTCGAGGATTTTTTTTTTTGTTCACTCGGGAGGTGGATAATTTTTTCTTCTTTTCTCTTCAAGCTAAATGTTGAAAGTGGAAGTTTTGTTCTCTCTTATAATCAATCGCCCATCTCCGGGAGATTACCTAGGAGACTGTAGCCTTCCTTGAGTGTGCCAGTCTAGAGTGTCCAAGGATTGAAATTCAGCTTCACACAAATGAAGACCAGCCAGGGGAAAAAAAATCCGTAACGTAGCAGTCTCCTGGTAGCTTTCACAATAAATTTTCCAACGCCTTCCTCTAACACTTACAACCACTATATGTCGACCAGAAAAGTTCCCATAAGATCAGAAGAAATAATCTCGGTCCTGAAATTTAGAGGAGTCAAATTTTGCTACCAGGAAGAAGAACTCCATTATGGCACTTTAAAACATGAAAACTTGTTTGTACATTGAAGACAGTACAACTACTATCTGAGAACGATCGTGTTCTTATGCAGCCATACGGGCATCTCGATGCTTTAAAACTCTTGGTTCTGTTGGTACGAAAAAGCAAAAAGCAAAAGCCTACCAGGAAAATTTTCAGCAAGGAAAGGACAGTTTTGCTTTTATAAGATGGTTGACTGAGGAGCATGGGAGTTCAAGTTAGAGATTTAGTAGTTAATTTGTTAGCGGCCGACTTTGTGTTCTTATTGAGTTTTCCAGTCTACAAAGTATCATTATCCCCAAATATCGTTAGGGAAACTTTGGACTAAAACAAACTAAAATATTTATGTTCTTGGATCTGAAAAGGTAAGTAGTTTTCCAATCTACAAATCTATTTTCACCTTGTAAAAGG